TCTCTTTTTAAAACACATAGGCACACTCTCTCTCTCTCTTTCGCTCTTTCGCTCTCTCTCTTTCTTTCTCTCTCTTTGACACACATAGTCACACTCTCTCTCTCTCTCTTTCGCTCTCTCTTTCTTTCCCTCTCTTTAACACACATGGGCACACTCTCTCTTTCTCTCTTTCCCTCTCTCTTTCTTTCTCTCTCTTTAACACACATAGGCATACTCTCTCTCTCTTTCGCTCTCTCTCTTTCTTCCTCTCTCTTTAACACACATAGGCACTCTCTCTCTCTCTTTCGCTCTTTCTCTCTTCCTCTTTCTTTCTCTCTCTTTGACACACATAGGCACATTCTCTCTCTCTCTTTCGCTCTTTCTCTCTCTCTCTTTCTTTCTCTCTCTTTAACACACATAGGCACACTCTCTCTCTCTCTCATTTCGCTCTCTCTCTTTCTTCCTCTCTCTTTAACACACATAGGCACATTCTCTCTCTCTCTTTCGCAGTTTCTCTCTCGCTCTTTCTTTCTCTCTTTAACACACATAGGCACACTCTCTCTCTCTTTCGCTCTTTCTCTCTCTCTCTTTCTTTCTCTCTCTTTAACACACATAGACACACTCTCTCTCTCTCTCTTTCTTTCGCTCTTTCTCTCTCTTTGATACACATAGGCACACTCTCTCTCTCTTTCGCTCTTTCTCTCTCTCTCTTTCTTTCTCTCTCTTTAACACATATAGGCACACTCTCTCTCTCTCTTTCGCTCTTTCGCTCTCTCTCTTTCTCTCTCTTTAACACACATAGGCACACTCTCTATCTCTCTCTAGTTCTCTCACACACACTCATTTTTTCCCTCCTTTATCTCTCGTCTCTCTTTCTATATATCTATATATCTCTCACACACACTCATTCTCTATCTCACTCCACCTCTCTCTCTCTCTCTAACTCTCTATCTATCTCATCACCACACACACCCTCGCTCTCTCTATCTCCACTCTCTCTAACTCTATATCACTCTATATATCTATCCATCTATTTATCTATCTCATAAACATGCACGAACACATACTCTCACTCTCTCTCTCTTTCCCTCACGCACTCTGCTTCAACTCTTCTCACACGATTTTCACTTCCCCTGTCACTCTCTCTTTCTTTCTATATCTGACACTTCTCTCTTTCTCTACCATTCCACTCTCATTCCCCTGAACCTCACTTTTCTGGTTCTTTTTTACTCTATCGCTGTTCCCATTCTCCCTTCTGTACTTTTCTACTCTCTCTCTCTCTCTCTCTCTCTCTCTCTCTCTCTTTCCTTCTCCTTTACTCTAGTTTCCATTCCCTCTCCTTTACTCTCAATTTTTCTCACTGCCTATCTTTCTTTCCCATTCCTTCTCTTTCACTCTGTCTTCCTCTCTCATTCTTTTCCACTCCCCTTCCTCCTCTCGCTTCCCCTACTGACTATTTCCCTTTTGCATTCACCCTCTCGTATTCTGACTTCCATGCACTCCCACTCTCTTACTGTTTTTACACTATCGCTTTCACGACTTCCTATCTCTCGTTAATGCTCTCCCTCTCTTACCTTGACCAGTTTACAGGTAGCGTAGTGGTCAACAGCGTGGCGAAATGGAACCAGATTTCTATACTCCCCTCTCGCATCCATTTCTACTCCCTCTCTCTTATTATTACTTTACTCATTTTTTCCACTCTCTATCTCACACCCTTATTCTTCTCTTCTCCTTAACTCTTTCTCAATCCTTCTTTGCTACTACGTACTTTCCTATTCCCCCCCCTCTCTCTCTCTCTCTCTCTATCTATCTATCTATCTATCTATCTCTATCAATCTCTCATTCTCTCTCTTTCACTCTCTCCTTATCTCTGTTTTCGCACTCCCTTCTCTGTACCCCTCTCTATTACTCTGTTTTTACTCTTTCCCTATCTTTTTAACACCTAAGATCCTCATTCATCCTTCATTCCTTCTCTTTATTATTATTATTATTATTATTATTATTATTAATTCCTTCTTCTTATCTTTATTCTTCTTCTTCATTCCTTCTTCTTTACTTTCTTCTTCTTCTTCATCCCTCCTTCTTCTCTTTCTTCTTTTTCTTCATTCCTTCTTCTCTTTCTTCTTCTTCTTCTCCTTCATTCCTTCTACTTATTATTATTCTTTTTCATTCCTTCTTCTTCTTCATCCCTTCTTCTTCTTCTCTTTCTTCTTCTTCTTCTTCATTCCTTCTTCTTCTTCTCTTTATTCTTCTTCATTCTTTCTTCTCTTTCTTCTTCTTCTCCTTCTTCATTCCTTCTACTTATTATTCTTCTTTTTCATTCCTTCTTCTTCTTCATCCCTTCTTCTTCTTCATCCCTTCTTCTTCTTCTCTTTCTTCTTCTTCTTTTCTCCATTCCTTCTACTTATTATTCTTCTTCATTTTATTCTTCATCATTCCTTCTTCTTCATCATTCCTTCTTCTTCTTCTTCTTTTCCTTCTTCTTCTTCATTCCTTCTTCTTCTTCTACTACTACTACTAATACTATTACTTCTATGTGCCGTGACCCTTCAGGACGTCTACAATCATGGTTCTCTGCAAGTTTCTGTAAGCGCTTTGTAAAAATTTGTCCTTTTACAATCTCTCCTAATCCCTATACTGCCAACCATTTACATAAGCTCGTCAGATAAGTTATTCTGTCACTCTTTCTTTCAACATATCCTGTGGGTGTCATATTTTCCAAGCCGTCATTCCTCATTATGTGCGCAAGAAATTTCAGTTTGTTCTTCTGATATGTGTTGTTTTTGTCTTCATTCGTAACTAAAATAATGATTAAAGTAAAAGCTATATATATATATATATATATATATATATATTGTTATGTGGGAACACACCTATTCTATAATTAATAGACTCTCCCACCTATAATAAGTAGGAGTAGTAAGAGTAACGTGTCAGTCAGTCAGTCGATCAGTCGATGTCGGACGACAGTCGAATACGACATTATCAGCGACCACAACTAGATTACTCTGCGTTATACCTATTATATCAAGTTCTTAACGTTTTGTACGTCGAACCTATTTTAGGACCGACTTAATACAAATACAACTCTGTGAAATCACTCCACAACATTATTTGGCGACGAAGATTCGAATTCATTACGGTGGAAAAAAAAAATTCGCCCGCCACATTATTTGGCGACGAGGGATTCGGATTCATACGGTGGAAGAAAAAAAATATTTCGCGCGCCACAACAATATTTGGCGACGAGGAATTCGTACTCATACGGAGGGAAAAAAAATCGCTCGTCACAATAACGTTGGGCGACGAAATCCGTACTCGTACGGTGGAAAAAAATTCGCTCGCCATAATTTTTGGTGACGAAATTCGTACTCATACAGAAGAAGAAAAAAATTCGCCCGCCACAATAACTTCGGCGGCAAAGTCTCGGATTCACACTTATAAAAAAAAAACTTGGCAAAGTTTTCGAAAGACAAGACGTCAACTTAGTGACAAAAGATCTGTCATATTCTCAACTGAGAAAAAAAATTTTTTCTCGATAATACAGTTTGCTCAAATACGTCACGAATTGCAAATTCGTAGGACTCCCCCTCTACAATATTTAAGCATTGTGTCAACTTTTTACAAAGTTGGAGGAATGCAAAAATATATTCCAGGAATTCTTTAAGTTCCAGTCAGAACAACAGATGAAAATATTAGAGCAACAGAAGACATTCCAGATGCAACTACAGGAGGAAACTTTTAATAGACAAATGCAATTTCAACAAAAAATGGAACAGATGCATAGGGAGTTTCAAAACAAAATTCTGGAAATAACTGAGAAGAGGAAAGAGAAAAATCTACAAAATGATTCTTTCCCAGAGAATACAATATGGAATTCAATTGAAATATTCACGTACAGTCCAGATGAAGAGATAACTTTTGAGGAATATTATAAAAAATATACGAACGTGTATAATGAGGACTGCTACTCGTGGTTTGAAAGAAAGAAGGTTAGGCTTCTTTTAAGCAAGTTAGGAACTGCTAAGCATAACAAATTGGTAAACTACATTTTACCGAAAAAACTAGCAAGTTGACGTTTACCAAGGCAGTAAATATATTAAGTGGATTATTTAGTAAAAAGACATCTCTGTTTCACAAGAGGTGGAAATGTTTGAATCTGATGCAAGATGACGAACAAGACTATATAACGTACGCAGCCAACGTGAACAAGTATTGTGATGAATTCAAGCTAGCAGACAATTTTAGTGCTTGGTGTTTGTTCAGAGGCTGGTATCGGAAAGCGAGCCGAGTGTTATGATACAGAAGTTGGCAGAAGACTGCACAAGATATGTTAGCGTAAAGAAAGATTCAAAAAAAATAGACCAGTCTGGCGTTTCACATATAAGAAAAAAATACGCTACAAAAAAAAAAGTCAGTCTACCAAAAAATTCTAAAATTGCGGATTATCAAACAAAAAGTGAAATACCAGAGAAAAAAATAACAAAAACTCCTGAAGCCATGTTTTGCTTGCAGTGAACTACACTGGTACAGATATTGCAATTTTAGGAATAAAAATGTTTCAACTGTAAAAGAGTGGGTCATAAAAGCTCGCACTGCAGGTCAAAAAATAAAGACAATAAAATAAGAAAATTCAAGTCCAATGAGGTGAACGATGGAATAATCAGAAAATTTGTTACCGTCGAAATAAGTAATAAAAAAAATGAAAATGCAACTCGACACTGGTTCCGACCTATCTATCATAAATTTGAATACGTGGAAGAAGTTGGAGAAACCAACTTTAATGAATACAAAAAAAAATCGCCAGGTCAGTGACGGGAGAAAAAATACAATTTATTAGCGAATTTGTTACAAACATCACGTTAAATAAAAAAACGCAAAAAGCTAAACTATTTGTCATAGAAAATACCACGAACTTAGTTGGTACAAATTGGATAACAGAATTCCAATTATGGGATCTACCGTTTCTGTTACAAGGTAGAAAGTTTAAACTCCGAAGCCCAAAAATTAGTAAAGAAACTGAAGGAAACATTTCCTACTGTTTTTTCTCCAGGGTTGGGAACGTGTACCAAGATGAAGGCAAAATTCCAGCTAAAAGAAAACGCTCTATTCAAAAAGAAAAGGAATATGCCGTTTGCCTCAATTGAACAGATAGATAAAGAATTGGACAGATTAGAGAAAACCGGTGTATTTTAAAAAGTTGAGTATAGTGAATGGGTAACACCGACGATATACGTGAAAAGAAAGCTCCAGAAAGTAAAGATGAAGCCGACACTGAGAAAAACTGGTGAGCGAGTTACCCACAGCCAATGACATGCAGTATTATTAAATGATTTAAGTCAACTGAAGTCACCACAGAAAACGTTAAGAAACACAAGATGAACAAAAGGGAAGCTAGAGGCTGAACAAATAGAACCACAAGAAGAAACTACAGAAACTGTGACTCCATCTTTAAGAAGCTCAAAGCGGAAGGTTGTTTCTGGTAACACTATGGAAGTATAAAAAAATAGAAAAGCGGATTGGCAATAGGATGTACTTGGTGAAAGGCGAAAAATTCACGTGCAGAAGGCACATTAACCAGATCTGACGTTGTTGACAGCGGTCCCGCGGAAGAAACGCCGATGGAGGTGATTTTCGATACGTTTGATCTAACAATGCCTGCAATAATTTTACCTGAGGTACGCCGATCCAGAAGAAAAAAGAAAGACAACTGATCATTTAAAAGTGGATCCAAAACGTAAGAGATACGCTACGATGTTGCATGAAGTTTTTTTTTTTTTGTTTTTGTTTTTTCTTCAGATTTCCTGTAAAAAATAAATAAATAAAACTGTTTACTCCTACGGAGTAAAGTTTTAGGAGGGGGGTGTTATGTGGGAACACACCTATTTTATAGTTAATAGACTCTTCCACCTATAATAAGTAGGAATAGCAAGAGTAACGTGTCAGTCGGTTAGTCGGTCAGTCGATGTCGGACGACAGTTAGTCGGATACTAAAGTATCAGCGACCACAACTAGATTACTCTGCGTTATACCTATTATATCAAGTTCCAAACGTTTTGTAATGTCGAACCTATTTTAGGACCGACTTAGTACAAATGCAAGCCTCCACTGGGAAATCACTCCACAATATATATATATATATATATATATATATATATATATATATATATATATATATATATATATATATATATATATATATATATATATATATATATATATACGGTGGAGGGTGAATAGCGGCTCGGGTTGAGGAATCGGTGAGCCGAGTTCGATTTCTAGTCAAATCCATTACATTTACTTACGTGCTAATACTCAAATAACGGGACAGACTGGGTTCTATGGCCAAATAACAGGACAGACTGGGTTCTATAGCCTTGGATGGCAACTTGTCTAGGAGAAGGACAACTCTGAATTCAAAACCTGTGGAGGGTCGTTTGGGAACCTTGTGGCACGTAGTGCACCAGGTCCCTGTATTCGGCCCTTCAAAAAGTGTGGATGGTCCTGCACGAAGCCTTCAACACTATAATCAAAACATATGTGCTGGTGTCTGGCTATCTGTTCCTAGCTGCTTGACCCTCATACGTCGGATACGACGTATGAAGGGTCAAGCAGCTCAGTTATTGCATTTTCATCTATGAAATAAGAAACTATGGGAAAAGAACTTGACCTTTGCCAATCCCCGTCACAATATTTGTAAGCGATGGATGAAAGAAATGGAGCAGATATTCAGTGAGTTAACTGTTGCGACCCAGGATTGTGAAGGTTATATGTCAGCCCTTCAGGAAATAAACATGGAACAATGTCTACACAATATGCCACCGAACCAATCATCAGAAACGCCAAAATACAAATTGACTATTCTGAGTTCGGTTTGAAATTCATACAAATATCACCTGAAGAAAGCCGAAACGTTTTGAATGTGCCAATAAAGATGAGGATAACAGTCTGAACAATGTAAATAGTGTAAATAGTTGTAATATCTCATCCCAGAAATATAGACAGATATTATATTCGTATTAAAATATTAACATATAAATAAATTGATAAAATAAAATAGAATAAAATAAATAAATTGTACTGTCTCCTTTCCGATAGTAGTTACACATGACATCATGTTAGACAATTTCAGACGTCCAGCGTCCGAATGAATACCAAGTTAAAGACCGAGGATTTCTAACGATTCTTGATAATGACTGCGAAAATCGAAGGTACTTGAACAAAAATAACAAAATATGGACTTCGGACAGATAATCTACAACTTCGCGCAATATACTCAACAACTTTTCCGTAAGTTGGAAAAGTACAAAAAGTTAAGCAGACAGACCTTGCTGTTTCTTTTAATCAAACTTCTTTGTGTATATAGGATCAGAGAAGAAGAAAAAGGAGGAGGAGTAGAAGAAGAAAAACAATTAAAAGCGGAACGACGCCAAGTAGAAGGAGGAGGTGGAGAACAAAATAAAGAAGAAGAAGAATAAAAGGGGACGACGACGAGAAGAAGATTTTATCTTGATCACGTGA